GCTCTTCCCAGGCTGCCGGCTTCTCCTTGCTGTATTCCCAACCTAGTAACTCTTGATTTGGGGGTGGAGGGTGATCTTTGGAGGTCATCTCTTCCTCATGAGATCTCAGCAATGCCTCAAAAACTATTGTTCTATAGTTCATGTTGCTGTACTGATGGATGCCAAGCTTTCTCTTGATTTCATGTGAAGTGACATTAGCCTGAATCTCTTCAGGCCCCCTAGTCATTAGGTCACCGAATTGCTTGGGGCAGCTGCTTTTGAGAACAGGTCACGTAGGTTGGTGATGTGACTGGAGTAGGTATAGTTTAGGTGTTTGATATTTTGTATACTCTACAAAGCTGCAACTGTTCTAGAGTGGTAAAGGGCAGTGCCCACTGAAACCCTGGTTTACTTTGAGCCCTGGTAAAGCGACACCTCTTTGTTTTCTACTGAATATATAGTTGTGAGCCTCAAGTTACTTTTGGATTGTGTATAAAATTTTATAGTGTAGAACCTCTCCCCATAGATATGTGTAAGTAGTAGAAATCAGTCGATTATAAATGTGTGATAGTTTGGCTGCACAATGAATGAATCAACTGCTTTTGGGCTGTTTGTGAACTAACCAACTTGGCTTTAGTAGAAAATGTGGGAAGGGGTGAGTATTGAGATGCTGGGAATAGTTGCTAGGCAACAGAAGGGAAACAGGCAGCTGGGAGGACAAGGCAGGTACCTGGGGGAAGACTGTGAAAGTAGATAGAATTCAGTAGATGGAATTAAGCTTTGTACCTGCCCTAGGTCACACCCTCAGTACCTGGACCTGGGTCCTGTTTCCCTTCTAGAACAGTTGCCTTTCATAGTGGACTCTTCAATCCTCCCTTCCACCACTGCTAGAAGCACACAGTGCACAGCGGTGGCCGCCAGACCCCGAGTGAGAACAGGATATGTGGCTACCGGAAAGTCCCCATCTCTGGGACGTGGGCCAGTCTCTTGAAAGGAGGCTTGTAAATTCGGTGATCCAACTTGGCAGGGCAGCTCTTTTCCACTAGGAATATCCTTTACAAGTTCTCACAGACTTCTGTGTAAATCTTGCATCTAATCTTATGCTTTCCATTGAATAGATTGTTAATTATTGTTTAATTATGCCATTACAGTACCCTCAATTTTGGTCGTTCACCCTTTCCATTAATACCCGTATGCCCACATCATTAGCAGTAACAGGAGTGAGCGAAGCACTCTTCTAGGTGCTTTGTAAATATCACCTCTTTAATCCTTACAACAACCCAATGAAGTAGGTAGTGTTATTAGCCTTGTTTCCTAGATGGGGAAACCGAGGTACAGAGCCTCACCTGCCTGAGGTTACATAGTGGCCCGTTGGTGAGGCTGGGTTTGAACCTAGGCAAGCTGTCTCGTCTCCCATGCTGTTGGGAGTTTTAATCTTTCCTGCTTCTTTTCTCATTCAGAAACATTAACAGTAGTCAGTAATGCCTTTAATGACGATAGAAGTAGCAACCCCCTGATTATAGGCTGGCTGTGAGACCAGAAGAGGTATTAGGTTGGAGAACTTTGGCTTATTGTACTGGGCCCTCGAGTAGAATGGAAATCAGAGTAGGCCTGATGAGGCTAGAGCAGGGGTCCGCAGACTTCTCAGACGGAAGAGCCAATCCTGTGCCTCACAACAATTTAAAAATTATTCGAGAGCCATAAAACAAATGAAATCACCATTATGTGAATAATATCCTTTAAAANAGTTAAAAAGTGATAGTTGAGTAAAACTGGGAGCAGAGCTATGAGATGTATCAGAATACTGAAAGTGAGGGATCACATCGATCACTTATGGTAAATGAAGTGAGAAGATGCCCATAGGAATGGTGAAATTTTGCAGGAGGATCAAATATATTGTTGATTGTTATCTTGACAGAGTTGAGGAATAAACAGGATGGGCTGAATTGGTAAATAGTCTACCCAATATGAGACGGATCTGCTGGGGCAATAACTTTTCTTCCTTTTACAGTTTATTCTTTGAGTTAACAAGTATCATTCTGGGGCTGGCCGAGTGGCTCAGTTGGTTAAGAGCTCGCTCAAGAGTGCCAGCTCTGAGCAACGGGGTCGCCCGTTCCGTTGGATTCACGGCCAGAGCTGAGCTGCCGCTGAGCTGCC